GTTAAATGGGTTTCAATGAAAAATAGAGCTTATTTTTGATGGTCTGCTTCTCTGGATTCAAACGTTTCAATATCTGTGCGATAGTGTGAACCAAATCACCCTTTTGTGAGACCTTATTCTTGAACTTCTGGAGCAAATCAGTACAAGTCATCGGTTTTCGCATTAAATAACGTCGAACGGCGTCTTCAGTAATGCCATCCGAGTTATCGCTCGTAAGCTTTGGTTTCTTTAGATTCGACGACAAATCATTTGAAGACATCTTTCGTTTCAGTTTATTCGCTTCATTCGGTGTCCCATTGGCTGAAGAGCCGGCCTCTGAGTTAATGGTAGGAGTGGCCGATCGACTGCTCCCACGACTACCCTTTTCCGACTCCAGTTTAACGGGCGCTAAAAGGGCTGACTTCTTGACGTCGACTGAGTCCGGATCGTCAGAATCAGAATCAGATGAAGAGGGAGGCGGCGAATCAAAGTTTGCTACAAAACAATCAATCACTCGATTAGCGCTTTTATTCAATTATCATATCATATGATGGATTACCCGTCAATTTATCCTTAAATTTGGATTTCTTGTCCACTTCCGATCCATTCTTATCCCCGTTTGGCGTCCGTTCGTTGTCTTTGTCTTTCTGTTCGTCCTTCTCTTCCTCCTCGTCTTCGTCGTCAGACAACGCCAATTGTCTTAAGGCGTCTTCGTCTCCAACGCCTTTCAACTGTTTATCGTTTTTCTCGGTTTCAGATTCTTCTGAACTGTCGGAAGAGTCGGACATATAATCCACTTCTTTGTCATCGAAGTCTCCCTCATCGCTCTCTTCTAGGGGTTCGCTGTCGTCGTCGTCGTCATCGGATCCCTTCTTCTTCTTCTTTTTGTTTGGTTTCTTTGCTTTCAAGCCTTTCTTCGCGTTCTTAATCTTTGGTTTGATGTCTTCATCGCTGTTTACATCACTTCTATCTGAGTCCAAGTCCTGCCAGTCGTCCATATCTGACACTTTCAGCTCTTTCTTGATCTTAGCCTTCGATTCTCCGCTGTGTTCCGGCATTTCATCGTCTTTTCGTTTTTTGTTAATCATTACCGAAAAGTAATTCAATATTTTGTCTCTCTTTTCAAACTTCTCTTCGGCTTCCTCTGCGGTCAACGCTTTGTATCTCTGGATTGGAGTGAAATTATACCACTCTTTGACGGGAAAGGCCTCAAAGGCTCCGTCGGGCGCCTGAAAGAAGACATAATACGAGGCGTTCTCAGAGACGCCGCCCTCTCGTAAGCCTTTATATCTGTGGCGAACAAAATGTGTTAAAAAAGTGTGTTTCATATTCAGTCACTTCTTGGACCCACTTCTTGGCCTGTTTTCCGCTGGTCTTCAGAATCCACGGCTGTTGAGCGCCAGTGGATCTTCTGGTATACTTCTTGCGCCTCAACTCATCCCTGTGTTTGCGTCCAAACTCACTGCCGGCGCCGAACTCAGACACTTCCGCTTCGGTTGTCGTCTCTGTCTTCACTTCTTTGCCGTCGTTCTCGCGAAACATTTGACACGATTTCCATTTGTTTGGCTCCACATTCAGAGCGGATCCAAAGCGCATAACATTGAACTTCTTGTTCATTTCGCTGCAGAGGGAGAGACAATCAATGAGTGAATGCGTGGTATGAATGGTATGGATGTGTGTTGTGGTGGAAGTGATGCAAACCTGGGAACTCTCACTACAAACTCCTGGGTTGAAGACATTTGATCCCAATTTGATGTCCAAACGTATTGTCAATTGAATTGTGTTTTTGAGTGCAAAACGTTTGGCACTATTTGTCACCACTTTTTGCCATTCATTTCAATACGTCTTCACATAAATTACGTCAATATTTACGGCCAAAGCATGTGATCATTGTTTTGGCGATCAGTGACTGAGGAGTGAAGATGTCTTTGAGAGTGATTTGTCGCCGACTATCGCATCCGTGGATGTCATGGCCCGCAGTGTTGAGAAGACACTCGCATTCAAACGCTGCCAATGAGTGGTCGAGACATTCAAAGACCCAAAGAGTGGTTTCAATGCTCTCTGAGTTTGATTTGACTGCAAAACAGACGCAAAGTATTGTCGACAGAATCGGTAAATATATT